AATATACATTTTAAATAAAAATTTAATGACTTATATTAATAATAATTAAATTTTTTTGTATAAAGTTCTTATTAAGTACTTTAATGTTATAAAATATTTTTGGTAAGTTTAATTTAATATTTTGACTTTTAAAATATGAATTTTAAATAAAAATTTAATGACTTATATGAATAATAATTAAAAAAATTTTGTTCATATATAGTTCTTGTCAATTATTTTTATTTGATAGAAAAAAATTTCAATTGTTTGTTCATATAAATTATTAAATTTTTATATAAAATTTTATATTAAATTTATAATTTTTTATAAATTTTGAACATTTTTTTCATATTATATTATATTATATTATATTTGAATTTTATATAAAAATTTATGCAAAATTAATTACAAATACTACAATTAATAAGGTTTAACATGTACCTTTAGGACATAGATTAAAAACTCCCTTTATTATTTTACTTATATGTTAAATTATCATTGCAGGATGACATGTACAACATACAGGTATATTATAGACTTCTTCAAATAACTACGTGACACATATAAAGGGGTGAGCAGCTACATGTATGAGTCAATTATTTTCTCATACATGTTATTTGATTTGTAAATTGACAATTACAAGATTTTGATACCAGTTACTTACTTAATTGTTGAAAATTCCTACCCATTACCCAATCCGTTAGATAAAGGCTTACCTGTAAGTATATTTGTAATACTCATTGAATATTATAACTTTTTATACATATTAAAACATAATTAAATCTATTACAAAATATACAGTTAATCAAGTTCATACATAGTACATAAACACAAAAAAATACATGAGTTTATATTTATAACAAAATACACAAATTAGAACACAACACTACAATTACTAATTGGAGATGTAGCATTTTATTGTTTATATATGTCAATTTTTATTTATTCATTAATTTTACCCGTGGCCCATTTGTAGTTGTTCTAGTTAGTGGTGGGGCTAGAAAAAAAATTTTAGGATAAGGGCAAAATGAATAAGGGATGAAATAATGGATTAAGTTGTATAATAAAATAAATTAAAATTTTGAAGATAAAAATAATAAAAATAAAAATTAGAAGTTAGGGAACTTATCTTAAAAAAAAAAAAAAAAAAAGAGTTCATTGTTTTATTATTTAAATTATAAAACAAGAATTCCTAAATGAGAAAAATAAAACTTTTCCCATCTAACGAATCAATATTTTATCGTTTGCAATAATTCAAATTGT